TTTCTGGTCACAGAATCATCTGAGCTATCTTTCATGTTAGGTTCCTGTGGATAACTAGAAAATTTGCAGAGTAGTTAACCGAATCATAAGGCTCAGAATGCTGAGGGTGTGTGTTCAGAACTGGGCCTCCCTCCCCCCAAGTTTTGTCTTTTTGAGCCAGTGCCTCATAGTGTAGCCCAGGCTGGCCTCCTCTTCACTGCCGGACTCTTGCTCAGTCCTCTGATGCTGGTGTGGTCGGTCTGTCTGTCTAGGTTTTGATTAAGTTGGTGGTATGTATTGAACAACTTGGTCTTCATCCCAGGTTTCAGACATTATCTTTAAACCCTGGGATTTTTCTGGGGGTTAGTCTTTGTTATGCTGATGAAGGCATTAAGTTAGATCCCTGGCTGCAGAATGAGGGCTGGTTCCCTGAAAGGCCACCCAAGCAAGTCTCAGTGGTTTAGGGATGTTGAACTCTGTTGACTTACATGAAAAGGAGAAGGGGTTGTAAATTGAGTACCTTGAGCAGCCTAGGATTCAATCAAGCATCACTAAAAGATGAGACCCCAGAACAAACCAAGCTGTATCTTAGTGGGCCCCCAGGTTATGCACAGATGTGCTTGCCCTGACCCTGTGACCTGGTGGCAGGACTACATTTTACAGTTGGAGCTGGGACTTGTTTCTTTGTGAGACAGGGTAAACCTTGGCCAGATTTCTTGCTTCTTAGTTGTATAGATAACACATGAACCAGACCTCAAGCCTGCCTGCCTTCCTTCCTTCTTTTCTTCCTTCCTTCCTTTCCTTTCCTTTCCTTTCCTTTCCTTTCCTTTCCTTTCCTTTCCTTTCCTTTCCTTTCCTTTCTTTCTCTTCTTTTTTTTTTTTTTTTTTTTTTTTGAGTAGATGCAGTTGAAACCTTAAGTTTGCTATGAAACCTCATTGCAGTGCCATTCCAAACATGTTTCTAGCCTGTTGCTGGAGTTTTGCTTTTATCTTATCAACTCTCAGTGGCTGAAGGCGCCTCCTGAGTTGAAACCTGAGACAAATATGCTAGAGAAGAGGATCTTAGAATGGTCCTGCCTGCCTGCCACAGGTGCCTTTGCGCATGCACGCAGTAGTAAACAGGAACGTGAAAACAAACCTTGACTTTCTGAGTTTTCCTTTCTGTAAAGTGAATACTTAGCTAGGTACTACTGTCAACTTCTTTTTGGGGTTGGGAGTTGGAAGTCAGGACACTAGATTAGAGCCAATCTAGCAAGACCTTTGTTTCCAGCCATCTGGGCTCACTGGCTCCAGCTCGAGCTCTGTCTCCTCATCAGGAACAAGGGAGGTGCAGTTTGAAAATTGGGCTTCTCAGAAACAAAAATAAGATCCTGGGCTGGTAGTGAAGTATTAGCCAATTATCTTCGAGACCCTGGCCTCAATCCCCAATATGACAGAAAAAAAAAAAAAAAAGAAAGAAAGGAAGAAAGAAAGAAAGAAGAAAGAAAAAGCAGAAGGAATGTCAGCACCCTCTGAAGAGGAAGGGATTTCTAATTGCATGTATGTGCAATTAGATCCCAAGTAGAATCAGAAGGTATTCTAAGGTAGGTAGCATTGGTGGAGCTCCTGTCCAATGAGAGTGACTTTTACAGAGGATGCTATTGAGTAATAAACTTTAACCCTTCCTTTCTTTCTGTTAGGGTCCTGTATGTAATGTTGATTGTCCTAGAACTCACTTTATAGTCCAGGCTGGCCTCCATTCTGTGACTAGCCTCCTGCTCCAGCCTCCCTTGTGCTGAGATCACAGATGTGACTTACCATACCTGGCTATGATACTTCTTCTGGGGTGGGTGTGTGTGTGTGTGTGTGTGTGTGTGTGTGTGTGTGTGTGTGTGTGTGTGTGTGTGTGTGTGTTTTGCATGCAAGTATACCACAAGCTTGCCTGATGCCCTTCAAGGGCAGAAGAGGGCATTGTACTTCCTGGAACTGGAGTTAAGGATGGATGTGAACCACCAATTTAGGTGTTGTGATTTGAACCTGGAATTCTTTACAAGAGTAACAAGTGCTTTTAACTGCTGAGCTGTCTCCCTAGCCCCATTTCTGCAAAATTTTTAAGTCCATGTTTCTTTTGGTTGTTGGTGATACTTTGAGACAGGGTTTCTCTGTGTAACAGCCCTGGCTGTCCTGGAACTCACTTTTGTAGACCAGGCTGGTCTCAAACTCACAGAGATCCTCCTGCTTCTGCCTACCAAGCACTGGGATTAAAGGCGTGTGCCACCACTGCCCAGCAATGCTTTGTGTTTTTGAGGGTATTTTGCTGTGTGTTCTAGGCTAATGTCTACTTGTGTCAGCCCCTCCTGGGCTGGGGTTACAGGTGTGTACCACCATATTCAACAATGTTAGTTTCTTCCATTGGATAGTGACTTCAGATCTCTTGAAGGATTTTAAGCCAGCAAGTGTTTATCAGTAATATGATAGAATGATAGAAGGGTTGTTTATTGTTTGCTGCTATGTTAAGTAGGCAAAGCCCACAGCACATTGCAAAGGCTCCTCATGGTGTCCATCAACAGAGCATGTTTAAGTGCTCTAGGCAGGGCCCCTCATTGAGTTCAGCCCATCTGCAGATTTAACTGAACCACTGACTTTATAAGCCCTGAGGTAAGAAGAGCAAGTTACAACTCATGTTTTTATTCTCTGCCACTTTTTTGATGATGAGGTGGTTACATTGAGAAAGTGTCAGGACTCTTGTTGAGTAGTCTTGGATGATATTTGTAAGACAGGTAAGCTGTAAGCAAATAAGCACTAGAAATAGCTTATTGACTGGTATATAGTACAGGGTACCATAGGGGGAGTCTTAAGTCAGGGTCTCATGTATCCTAGATTGGCTGTAGCTCTGTAGCCAAGGATAACCTTGAATTAACATTAGCACGAGCCATCATACCCAGTTTCTGCAGTGTTGGGGATGCAACGAACCCAGGGCTTTGTGCATGTTCGGCAAGCACTCTGCTGACTGAGCTACATTCCCTGATTTGTATATGTATATTATTAATTCAAGGCCTCATGTGAATTTTAACACTTAATTTTTATTGTGTAATGGTTCTTGGGATAGTTTGTTCTTAATCATGCTTCATTAATACTGTTTTTCCTGGAAATTTCAACTTTGACAATGTGAGAACATTTGAGATGACTATAAGCATATAAGCATATATTTCTTCCATAGCGGCCATCAGGCTTTTCTGGCAGAAGTCTTGCTTTTCTGTCAGTATGTGTACTAGAACACAGCCGCTCCTTAGGCAATGTGTTTGTTGGCTGTGGTTGTCATTTCCTGTGAGCACCTAGAATTGAATGTCTCACTCTGCTACCTCTTTTGGAGGCAGTGTGAGATTGGTTTTGTTGTTGTTGTTGTTGTTGTTGTTGTTGTTTTTTCTTCTTTTCCTTTCTTCTTTTTCTGCAGCAGGACCGAAGTGGGTGGTGGGAAGCCATGCTGCCTGAAGGTGACATCTGTCTCTTCTGTCCTCTCTCTCTCTCTCTCTGTATCTCCTGGTAACTGGGAGGAAGGGTAGGATGCTAATCTAAATTAACATAGAATTGGTTAGACTGTCTCCCTTTGAAGTGGATTCTTGGCCTGCAATTGAGAAAGTTTATTTAGTTTTGGGCATAATCTGTTTTGGGATCTTATTCTTTGAGAATTGAAGAAAGTTGTGTATCAACTTGTGGGGTGTGGACAAATAAATATGTTCAAATTTCATTATTGTGGAAATTTATAAGCCTTTGAATTTCTTCCTGTGGGAGTCCTCTTAAGAATCCCTGCCATGTCTCTACTAGGAAGGGACTTAGGCATATATTAAGATGGGAATAAAACTAGCAAGATGTCAACTCAGTAGAGTTGAATATTCTTTAGTTTTCCCTTAGCACCCCATAACTTTTAAAAATATTTAAATATAAATAAAACACTTCAACTGTGTTCTGATATAATTTTGAGGATAGTCATTTCTGATGTTAGAATTTTGAATGTAGGTGATGAGGGAAAAAATAGTGATTATTTTTGGTGTTCCCAAAACAAATCATTGGCTTGGAATAGAGCACCCAGTTTGGGGGTAGAAATGTGTCTGTCACATGATGCTCTCTTTGTGCCTAGCTGCAGAGCTGTGCCCTTGGAGTGCACCGCTTGCTTCTGGCCTTGTTCTCTTCTCTGCATGTTTGCATGAGCCCTTCTACTTAACCAGTGTTTTCCAAACCTCATTCAATTTCATTTTAATGATTTTTTTCCTTCTCTCTACATTTTTTGGTTGTTCTTTGAGTCAGCTCCCCCTTTTAAACATAAATGTAAAGCCAGGTGTGGTGGCATATGCCTTAATCCCAGCACTCAACAGGTGAGTCTCTGAGTTCCAGACCAGCCAAGGCTGCATGTCAAGACATTGTCTTAAAAAAGCTACAAAAACAGCAAAACCCTAACAACCTAACAACTTTAATTTGTATAAAGTAATGGAGAAAGGTGTTTTTAAAGCTTGACGCTGAAACATCTAAGTAAGTTCGGGGAAGCCGTCCACCTATAGTCGTCTTAGTTTTGAAATTCTTGGGAAGCACCTCCCCCATGTGCTGGGATTTTAAAGCTCTTTGTTTTTTGTTTGCTTGGTGGTGGTGGTGGTTTTGTTTTTTTGAGATGGGTTTTTGAGAGTCCTGGCTGTTCTAGAACTTGTTCTATAGACCAGGTTAGCATTGAACGCACAGAGATTCACCTGTCTCTGTTTACCCAGTGCTGGGATTAAAGGTGTGCATCACCACCACCTGGCTAAAGTTTTAACTTTGAGCCAGAATATGAGTAGTGGAAACTTCTTTGCTGGAAGGACAAGATGTGAGGAGGGAGCTCCCGGGGTCCTTGGGAGCTGCTTGCCAGAACTTCCCTTGTACCCCAACATGAGGCTACCTGGCTGCGTGCATGGCGAAGCATGGGCTCGTAGCCTTCGTAGCCTTGCAGTGACCAGTTGGTTTGCTCTAGCCTGTGTTTCTCCACATTTCACCTGTGTTCATCTCTCCTGCAGGTCTGATCTTGCTCTTCTACCTAGTTTTTTATGGGTTCTTGGCTGCACTATTCACATTCACAATGTGGGCCATGCTGCAGACCCTGAATGATGAGGTTCCGAAATACCGAGACCAGATTCCTAGTCCAGGTAAACATCACAGCATATAGAAGTTAGACTTAGAGTTCGGGAATGTGTGAATGATTGGTTTCATACTTCCATGCTGGTTTATTTCAAGACTTTCACAATCATTTACTGGTAAGTTTTAAATCCTTTGACAGGAATAAGCAGAAATGAATGTTGGAATTTCATTGAGGTGAGTGAGAATCGTTATAAAGAATGAATGAATGCTTTCATGAATACTGCATAGCACTTCCACACGGCCTTCAGTATGTTACATGTGAAGCACATATTTTGGCTCTGGCTTGAGTTATAGCATTAGACTTATAAAATAGATGTCTTGTGGTTTTAATTGGTTGGTATGAAAGTGGTACTCTTATTAGAGAATAAAATCAATGTGTTCTTTATATGCCTAATTCTGTGTAGTCATTTTAAAATCTGTTCTAGATTTTATCAAAGAATATGCTTTTAGCAAAACCTCTAACCTGAAACATTGATTATGTAAACTATATTTTCTTCCCCCAGTTTTATTCTTTTGAAACAAGTCTTTGAAAGCTAGTTCTGCCTCAGGAGTTGGACAGGGCCTTTGGCCTCAAGGAACTTGCAGAGTTTTTGCGGCAATACTGGAAATAAAACTATCCCCCTATCCCACTCCTACCCCCACCCCTGCCACAGAGGCTGAGCAGGTGCCCAAGCACCTAACCTGGTGCTGGCTTTTTCAGCAGAGTAAATATTTATTAGGAAATGTGAGAAAGAACACCATAAAGTAAGTGAGGCTCTGAGGGAGTGAGGGCCTGAAAAGCAATGCATGGGATTCCCCAACGTAACAAGCTTTCTAGAGAGGGACATGCCTGTCTAAAGAGTAGACTCTGAGTAGCAAAGAGAATGAGTGGCCCAGCAAGTGGGGAAAGTGGTACATTGTTCTCTAGAACATGGGTGTGTCTTCCAGGGACCACTTGGCATTGTCTGGAGTCAGTTACTGGAACTGGAGCGGTAGTTGCTAGTAGAAGCCAAGGATGCTACTGAGCAGGAGCAGCTCAGAGTTACCCAGCTCAAACTCGTGTTCAGGCTAAGGAACCCTAATCTATGTTCATCCTCACTGTGAGGACTTTGGAGCTGTAGTAGCAGCCAATCCACACCAAGTTCCCCAACCACTTCTTTTTTTGGTTCTAGTTTCTTTTGTTTATACCTAACATACCTTTGCCCTCTGCCTACACTAACTTAAATTTCATTTTCTTACTGTTTAAGTTATATATGATTTTGTTATTATCAACCATAGTTTGATTTACTTCAAAAGTGCTGAGCTGTTTAGCATAAGTTAGAAGCCAGACTATTCTCTGTAGATAAGTATGTTTGTTTGCCTTTTCTTTGCTTTATGTGCATGGGTATCAACTCCTGATAGGGAATTGTTACTGATTTAATCCAGATTTGGTACATAGGAAACATATGTGAATGCTGGAGCAACTCTGATTGAAGGAAGAATATATTTACTACAGACTTCCAAGTGGAAACTCTTTAAGCGAAAGGAGTAGACTGTCTTTGATATGTATGTTTTCAGAGTTTTATTTTGAATGGTAAAATGTTTAAGACTAAGCAGGCGGGCACCTGCCAGTGGCTCATACTTATGATCTTAGTATTCTAGTGTGCTCAAGGGTTTTGGTTTTGTTGTTTAATCTATAGCAGTAAGCATGAAAAAAAAAAAAAAAACCCTAAAGTAGTATTTGATAGAAACCTGAGTTCAGAAAGTTTAAGAGCCAGGGAGATTGGTCAGTGGTAAGAGAACTTGCTATGTAAACATGAGGACTTGAGTTCAGATTCCTAACATTCAGTAAAAGCCAGGCCTTGCCACTTGTACCAGTAACTCCAGTGAGGAGTGTGAAGGCAGGAAGGCCACAGGCTAGCTGACCAGCCATCTTAGCAGGAAAACTTTGAGCTCCAGACTCAATGAGAAATGCCTGGTGCAAGGATAAGGTAAAAACTGATAAAAGTAGGGACACCTTAATGTTGTATCTGTAGTATGCATGTGTACATATACTCGGGCCTGTGCTTACACTCTTTCTGCCTCCCACCCTCCCTCTCATGCACATGCACACCCACCCACAGAGTTCATAGTACAGTAAAACAGCATTTTTGATGTTTTTCATTAGAACTCGCTCTGTAGACCAGGCTGCCTCCCAAGTGCTGGGATTAAAGGCGCATAGCACCTGGCAAGACGTTGTGTTTTAAAGTAAGGAATGATGGTTATAATTAACTGAAAATAATAACATTTAAAGACTTTCTAATTAATCTAACTAGTTTTAAAGATTTGAGTCCTTTTAGAGGTTTTTCATAAGGGGACCCAGACAGTTGTTGGTAATTATGACGTATCTGTGGACACATGGCCCTTCAGGAATAAGTAAGGAAAGAGGAGAATTTTTTTATTGTTAATAACCCTCTGTCTCTTTTTAGGACTTATGGTTTTTCCAAAACCACTGGCTGCCTTGGAATATACATTCAGCATGTCTAAGCCACCTACTTATGAGAAGTTCACTGAAGACCTAAAGAGGTTCCTAGAGCGTAAGTGTGCTGTCCTAGAAGAGGGGGGCCTTGTAGTTCCTCCGCATGGAACTGCCTTTAGAAGCTGCATTCTTAGTCTATTTTCTGATGGTGTTCTACCCTTTCAAACATAGACAGCTGGATCTGCAAGTAAACTCATTGTCAGTTGTAAGAATGAAGCCCAATCTGTCCTGTAAAGCAGAGCCTCTGAGTGTCAGAATCTTGTGTGGTGCTAGGCGTGGAACAAACACAGTGCCTCACATACTGTGCAAGTGCTCTCCCCCTGCCTGCACCACAGCCCGTTATGGGACTCTCATATCTGGGATAGTACATATGTCAGATTTTTAATGTATTCCTCACCAGTAAGTAATGCTCTGCAATAAGTACTATAGTCAGTATCTTCCTTGTTGTAGCTGGCTTAACCAAATTCATATGAATATAACAATCAAATGAATTAATAGTAAAAGCTTTGGTTTACTTGGTTGCCTTGTCCCTTCTCAGCCATAATACACCACAGTTATTCCCTGGTTGCCAAAGTCATTGAGCAGCGCCACTCTGTCTTTGTAGCTTGTTCAGCTTTCTTCCAGGGTCCTGTGCTAGTGGCTCTTCTCTTGCTGATGGTTTCTCTGATCTCAGCCCTTTCCTTCTGGCATTCTTCCCCACCTAATTTTTGTTTGTTTGAGATGGGATTTCTCTGTATTGCTTTGGAGGCTGTCCTGGAACCAGCTCTGTAGACCAGGCTGGCCTCTAACTCACAGAGATCTGCCTGCCTCTGCCTCCCGAGTGCTGGGATTAAAGGCGTGCACCACCTCACCCCACATGCATCTAGTTTATTAACATTTTTTTTTTCACTTTTACTTTCATAGGCATTCCAAAATTCCTTGTCTTTAAGTCTGCCAGTTACTTGTGAGCTCTGCTCTGGATAAAACCACATAATTCCTGGATTAGGTTCCTTCTCTGATCCTGGTTAGAGCAGCCACAGGTGAAGACAGGACTGGACAGTGGTCAGCACCACCTCCCTCACTCAGGTAGCTGTGCTTGACTGCCTAGTGACCATTTGCCCTTCTCTGACTCTGAAGCTGTGATTGCTGCTAGCCTTTACTCAGGCCTTTCCCCTTCTCCCTGTAGCTTGCCTTCTTCATATAATACAGTATCTTGAAGCAAACGACAGAAGGCCGAGTGGGCTGTAGCTGTCAGGGCTTGCCTGGCATGCAGGCGCCTGAGCTTCTACCCACTTGACATCTGCTCTGATGCCAAGGTCATCCTCAGTTAATTAAACTCAAGGCCACCTCAGGCTGCACAAGGCCCAGTCTCAAAAGAAGAGGTAACAAAAGTACTCAGGCAGACACCTTACAGTCTCTCCGTTACTAGTGAACACCTGTACTTGCCACCATGTTGCTGGTTGAGTTTTTTCTTGCACGTTTGGCACTAGTTCCCTCTCTGTCTCAGAACTAGGGTGTACACACGGTGTATACACTGTTGAATTCTTGTCAACTACTTTAGTGATTTTTTTTTTTTTTTTTTTTTAACTTTTTTTGGTGTTTCCAGACAGGGTTTCTCTCTGTAGCCATTGTTTGTAGTTCTGCAGTATTATTGCAGCACTGAGTTGTAGCTCAATTTTCTATCCATTTTTGTTTATACTTAAAATACTCTCCAGGCCTTACTGTACCTTTTAATCCCCTTGGACTTCTGTTTTTATTTTGGATTTTTATTACTTTTTTTTTTTTTTTTTTAGTTGGGAGTATAGTGCATGTGTTTGTCAACCAAAGGACATCTTGAAGGGCAGCATTCTCTCTCATGTAGATTCTGGGGATTGGGTTCAGGTCATCATGCTGGCAGTAGTTGCTTTATCTGCTGAGCCATCTCACCTACACTGGTTTTGTTTTTAAAGATTCACCTGTTATTGGTGATTCTTAGGAATTTCCTTTTCATGTCTAAAAGACAAATATCTGACTTAAAAAGAAAGGTTTCCCTGCTTGGTAGATTCTAAACTGAAAGTTTTATTTTGTTAAAATTACCTTTACTTTTTTTTGTTTTGTTTCTTGTTTTTCGAAATAGGGCTTTTTTTTCTATGGCTTTGGAACCTGTCTTGGAACTCACTCTTGTAGACCAGGCTGGTCTCGAACTCAGAGATCCACCTGCCTCTGCCTCCTGAGCTCTGGGATTAAAGGTGTGCACCCACCCCCAGCAAAACTACCTTTTTCTTTAGTCTCCTTGTTACTCAAGCGTGTGGGCTCTGGTTACTCTGAAATTGGTACTATGTTCCCATCATGCCTCACACCTCACAGCTCCTTGCATTTCGTTTTGTATAGAAACGAAAGTCTGCTTGACAAGCAGTCTAAACAGCACCCTTTGCTACAGAGGACGACGCCCCAGGGAAATGGGTGGAGGGTGAGTGATGAGAGTCGGCGTTGCCTCAGATAACCCAGTCACTCTTTGCTTTTAAACAAATCCATGTTATTGGCTGTAGCTCAGGTTGGTGACATGGTTAGCACATGTGAAGCTGGAGTTCAGTCTCTCCCATCCCTGTCAGATGGATTCCCTTGTGTTATAGTTTGCTTTCTGTTGCTGTGATCACCACCACCATCACAGGGCTTTGTTTCAACTCAGCTGCTTCTGGTTCATCCTTGAGGGAAGCTGGTCAGGGCAGGAGCTGAAGCAGAGACCATGACGACAGCTGCCTACTGGCTCGCACTCGGTTACTTTTTTAGATAGCAGGTCCACCTGCTCAGGGTAGCACTGCTCACAGTAGGCTCAGCCCTTCTACATCAATTAGCAATTAAGAAAACTCCTCAGACATGCTCTCCTAAGCTAGTTTGATGGAGGCTGTTCTTCAGTTGAGTGATGCTCTTCCTTGGTGTGTGGAGACGATAGCCTAGATTAGCCATCACCGTTGAGATGCCTTTTTATCTGCAACTTCTCCAAAGCGAAACATACAATCCCGTTACATTTCCTTCTGAAAGCGTTCTCTTTGCAATGCCCCTGTTTGGGTTGAAACAGATGGCCCTTTTTGTGGTGCCAGTTGTCACTAGGGGGACTTTGATGGCTTTCACTACACCAGGCTCACTGAAGGCGGAGCCTGTCAGACCTCTTCTCCTTCATGCCCCTGAATGCCCATAGTGCAGCTGGCCCAGAGCGAGACTGTACTCTGCCTGTGTTTCTCCCCTTTCCTCATTTCTGGTTCTTAAACATTTTAATTCTTTGGTTTAAATGTACCTGGTTACTTAGCTCCATCGTCACCATCTCAGCACTCTCTTAACCTGTGCTGCATCAGGAGCCTTTTACTTTCTAGGGTTCTATTTTCTGGATGGCTCTGTTCTGCATAGCACAAATACTGGCACAAAACAGTCTTCTCGATGACCACTCTGCCTGCTATACATCGTTTAATGGAGCATCATGGTTCTTTTGGCAGCCCTTCAGTTCTTCTCAGTTTTTTACAGAATTTACACGGTTCAGCTGCAGCCTTCCTTTACCCTGCTAACCACCTTAACACTCACATCCCTCTGCTTTCAGGTCAGTGGAGCCCCCTTGCCATAAACTATTAGAGTGCTGTTTTTTTCCATAGCTGTGCAACGTTGAATTACACTGTGCTCCCCACTAGACTGCAAGCCCCAGGGGCAGTAGCAACAACTTTGCACATCCTTGTCATTGTCACTGAGGTCAGGCACGTAACAGCATTTCCTGATAGTGGTGTAGCTGTTGCTGGTGCCAGGCACATCAGTGAACAACTCTAATCCAGCCTGAGCAGCCTTGGAAGTGGGAATCTTTAGGGCACTGTAACTGTTACCAGGAAAAAAATGTAGCCTCTACTGGATGCTTGCTATTGTTACCTGGTAATTCATGTTGTTGTTGTTGTTGTTATCTTTGAAAAACAATCCTTCAGGGAATGGTTTGACCCGTTTCTGGTTGTGTTTAGTATCTTTTCTTAGCTGATCTGGCACACCCATGTTTCCTTTTTTAGCATATTCTGTAGAACAACAGAAGAATCTCACAAACTGTCCTGATGGAGCACCTTTTAAACAGAATGGTCCAGTTTATCAAGCATGTCAGTTTCCAGTGTCCTTGCTTCAAAATTGTAGTGGTGTGAATGATGCTGATTTCGGCTATTCCAAAGGACAACCTTGTATTCTTGTGAAAATGAACAGAGTACGTACTTTTTTTTAACCTCTGCTGTTGCTTGCTTCTGATACCTATATGTACTGTGATGCAGCTGCTAAGCTGATAGCTGCTTTTTAGACTGCTTTGCCTGAGTTAATGCCTTATTAAATGGCACCTCATTGGGATAACTTACTTAAAAGACCAGCAGTGCTCGTTCATGCTTGGGGGATATGAATATGGCAAAAAGGGTCATAGTTTAATTGTGGATTTTATGTAATTTTCTGAGCAGCCCTAAAGCACATAGTGCTATGTATAATTAAAGAGTGGGAATTTAAATAAACCCATATACTAATGAGCATAATACAGGGTTGTAGTTATAGCCAGTACTATGGGATGTTTCAACAAGACAAGGCCAAAACAGTGAGCCAGAAGGAATGTGGAACTTGTTCTGTGCTGTAAGGTGAGTTAATGCATTCATTTTAATGAGGATGTCTTCAGTAATGCTGGCCTGCAACATCTGTCCTCACAATTTGCTATACTGCTGAAAAGCTACTCCCTGTCCAGAGGACCACCTTCTGAGTTTATTTTCTTAAAAGTGGCCTTTGCATGATGGGACTTAGAGGCCATGCTTGCTTTATTGGCTGGCCTTGCAGGCTCACAGGACAGCATCAGACAGATGAGCTGGCAGAGTTTTCTTCAGTGTGCTCACAGAGCTGTTATGAGTGGAAGACTGGGTACTGCTGTTCATATCATTCTATGGGCTTCAACAGTTTGACTTTTGGAGGCCTCTTTATGTCTTGCAAACCTTTGCATAGAACTGCATTTGAATTCAGGATACAAAGTAACAAAACCTTAGAAGATGGGCTGGTGATAAAGGCACTTGCCACCAGCTCCCCATTTCCCACATGGTAGATGAAGAGACCCAAACCATGGAGTTTGTCTGTGGTTTTCCACATGTTTCCCCTACACACACACACACACACACAAATTAATAAATGAAAAAAATGTTTTTAGGTAGATGGGTTGACTACAAATGTAAAAGTAGATCCAAAGGCTGGGGTTACAGCTCAGATTTAATGTTTACCTAATATAGTCAAGGCCCTGGTTTGGTCTTAGCACCACAAAAATCTACTGTGAGGGAGATGTACGTTGGGATTCTTCTCAGTATGTGCCTTTAGGGGAAGGGATAGTTAGGCACATATTTTCAAAATGAATATTTTATTGTGAGTATCCTTAAGGCTAGCCTAGGCTATAAGCAAGACCTCCTCAAAATAAACAGAATTAATTTGTTATATTCTGCCCCTGTAATTTAATTTGTTGTTTTAAATGTGACAAAGCACATGACTGAATTGCTTCAGTACAGCACTTAACTATTTTGGAAGGTTTGTTTTTATGTCGTAAAACACAGGTTAACATGACTGAGTTGAATATGCAGGGTTAATCTCAGCTGCTGTGCTCTGATCCCCAGCAATAAAAGAGGAGGTTCCATTGCATTTGCATGTGCTCACTGACTCCTCCATGTTTCTTACCTTAGATAATCGAATTAATGCCAGATGGAGCTCCACAGATAACGTGTATGACAAAGGTCAGTATTTAAATCACTAAAGCTTTCATGTTTCCTTTTTCTTTGTTTCTTCTTCCAGACAGGGTTTCTCTGTGTAACATCCCTGGCTGCCCTGGAACTCTTTCTCTGTAGACCAGGCTGCCCTGGAACTCGGAGACCCACCTGCTTCTGCGTCCTGAGTGCTTAAAGGCGTGTTGCTACCACTGGTCCCTGGCACTTTCATGTTTTTTGTTTATTTTGTTTTTTAAATACTTAATAAGTGTCACCAGTCTTTTCAGGGTGATCCTGTGTTTGCTAATACCCATTAAAAAGGACAATTTCTCTTTGTTTATTTTACACATAATTGTTTCACATAAACTGCATTCCATCGATCCTAGGATGTGTGTGTTCTGGTTTAGTAATGAAGTTGGCATTGCAACCCCACAGGTCCCTTTTGTGTCAGGATTTTTTTCTTTCAGGCCTAAAAATTAGTGTACTTATTGTTAGTGTCACCTAGAAATTAATTAACTCTGCTATTTTTCTATAAGGTAGAGGCATTCTTTTTCTTCACTCTCCCGTTTTACTTCCAGAAAAGTGCTTGTATTTCCATCCTAAAACTTGTTTACTTTCCATGTTGCAAATACAACCAAGACAGATGTGTAAAGAAGCTTGCAGGCATTCTGAAGAAGCACACTTAAGCTCTAAATATGTCAGGGTGCTGCATTAGCATTCATGCCCAGTTGTGTGGCAGAACGAGCTACCTAAAGTGTTGCATTGAACTTGCTTTTAAAGGTAAAGAGAAAACACAATTTCTTAAGTCAGAGATGACTTCCTTACTTGGGCAGAAACTTTGCTGTGCATAATATCATCGTGCCACAAAGTCCCGTGCACTTGATCCCCCCAGTCCTATATAGTTCTGACTCCGTAGTCCTTGGCCTTGGGGAGAGCCCACAATTTGTGCTCCTGAGTCCTAGGTGCTGCTGCTGCCATCCAGGCCTCGCTCTGAGCTGCTGATTGTTGCCCTGTGTTTAGAGGGGGTGTGGAGGTTACAGCCAGATATTGGTTCCTTACCTCCTCATGCCACACTCTGTCCTCTGAAACTTAGAAAGAAAACTAGAATCCTAACTGGACGTGGTGTCAATGCCTGTAATGTTTGTACTTGGGAGGAGGATGAGGCAGGAGAATTAAGAGTTTGAAACTAGCCTGAGCTGCATACTAAGATGTTTCCATAAGCAGGGCTTGGTGGTACTTGCCTTTAATATGAGCGCTAGGGAGACCAAGGCCCACAGATCTCTTGAGTTTGAGGCCAGCCTGGTCCACATAGTGAGTTCTAGGCCTGTTAAGGCTACCTAGTGAAACCCTGGACCCCCAAATTAAACAAAACAAGAGAAAAACCCTACCTTTGGGATGGGATGCTATAAGCCCTGGTGTGGTGGTGCACACCTTTACTCCTGCACTTGGGAGGTTGAAGAAGGTGGACCTCTCTGCGTTTGTGGCTACATAATGATTTCCAGGACAGTCAGAGCTCACAGGATAGAGCTATATCCTCTGAGCCATCTCATCTGCCCAGTACCTGAACTCTAATTACTATACACTTCTGAGCTCTTAATAAGAAAGCAGTCACATTAGTGTCATGTTTAAAGTAGGTTCAGTGAAAACTATTAATGTGTTAACACGAAACACATTTATCAGTGTGACTTTTTCTTCATGTAAAATGTAAAAAATAATTTTGTGTTGCTTTTTCGAGATAGGATTTCTCTGTATAATAGCCCTGGTTATCCTGGGGTTCACTGTGTAGACCAGGTTGGCCTTGAACTCAGAGAGCCTCCTGCCTCTACCTCCCAAGTGCTGGGATTAAAGCCATGTGTTAATGCCCAGCATAAAATGTGAAATTTGAAGTTTCATTTTCAGCGCTAGGGATTGAACCACTTACATCTATCTGGCATGCTAAGCATACAGTGCTAGTGAGTGACGCCTGCTATGGACACCCCTGATTAGGAACACACCTTTTGGGGTGGTGGTTCTTAAATGTGGCCACTGTTTCTTAGTCATTATCTACTGGTTTTCATATCATTTTATCTAGATCATTAGAACTTGGGTTTTCATGTCTCTCTTTGCTCTTTGCTTTGCTACATGATGCTAATACAACCTGGACTGCATAGCCAGAGCCTGTCACTAAAAACAAAAGCCTACAGAACACCAGCTTTGGGAGGATGTCATCACACCCAGTGCCTCCTCTGTCTGCTGCTCATGAGTGTGGTGATCTTGTCTCATGATCGCACGCGGTCACCAAGTAAAGAGGCAGAAAGCAAGGCTGCCGTCTGTGCAATCAGAATTTGCTATTCCTCCTTGTGCGTTCTCAGAAGTGGGCAGCACAGGCTGGCCTCAGACCGCAGTAGCAAGTGTGCCCTCACATACCAACTTGTAGCACCACACCAGAGTCTGGGATGGAAAGCTAGGTGTTGAGTGATGGTTGTTGTCAGCTTGGGGCTGGCTTGTTAGGGTTTGTGTTTGTTTTAGCACTAAGGGTCCACGTGGGTGCCCATGAATGGGGTGTGTAGACTGATACTTAGAAATTAATTTACTTAGAACTTGGTGCGTTTCTCTGTTTATTCACTGGAACTAGGAATGCCTTTTCTGTTTGTTACATTATGGGTTATCCTGATTACAGTTGTTAGGATTCTTTCTTGGTTGTTAGCTTATGGATGCCATTACTTTCAGTCTAGGGGCACAGTATTTCATTCATTAGGAAAACCTCAACCCAAACTTACTCATGCATTTTTGCTGTCAGTGGCCAAAGAACTGGCTGCACTCAGGGTGGGGTGGGGACAGGTGAGTAACAGTTTGTAGGCAGCAGAACCCGCTGTAACTGAGAAGAGACTAGGATGTATCAGGAAATGTAAGCTGCACAGGACAGTGTATGTCAAAGCACTTGATTATGTAATGTCTATGATAACGATGAGCAACCAGGTGTGGTAGTGCATTCCTGAAATCTTAGCATGTGGGAGGCGGATGTGGGCAGATTGCCATGGCCTTAAGACAAGGCTGCGCTACACAGTGAGACCATCCGTCTCAGCAGCACAGAGAAGCAGTTCTCAGAAACACACTTGTAATTAACGTGACTGAAGAGTCTTCAGTTCCATCCAGCTGCTGACTGTCAGTGATTGTGACACTACTGTGACCTAACAAGGGTTTCTTTTGCTTTTAATCCTAGGATACAGACATAGCAAATGTATTGACCTATCCTGACCATGGATTCATAGACTTAAAGTATTTTCCATATTATGGGAAAAAACGGCACGTAAGTATTTAGTCATCTGTTAGGAAACTGCATGTACTGAGATAGCCTATCCTGTATGCCGTCCTGTGTTCACCATCAGCATTGTTTGTCTCTTGGGTTTAACTAATGGGGCGGGCTGGTGGAGATGAGCACTCTCGGTACAGCAGAGCGTGTCCACACTAGAGGATGGCTGTCTTCAGGGCAATGGTTTTGCTTTTGTTTGGAAAGTAATAGACACTCTTCACTCGTTATTTAGACATAGCAGAATTTTGTGATTTTTAAGATTTTGAAATATATGCATACAAAAATTTTTTATAAAGTTTTATCATTTAACTTATTTTGAAACTATTCCCAACTCAAAATGGCTAAAATGGTATGTTTTCTGAAAACACATGACCAGATTTTGATACTGTATCTTTATCTATGCATTTTTCACTCTTTTGTTATTTTGAGGCAGGGTTTCTCTGTAAGCATAGCTCCTTTATAAGTGCCTTCCTTGGGGCTGGAGAGAAGGCTCAGAGGTTAGGAACACTGGCTACTCTTTCAGAGGTCCTGAGTTCAATTCCCAACACCCACATGGTGGCTTACAACCCTGTAATGAGATCTGGTGCCCTCTTCTGGCCTGCAGGGGTACATAATAAATAAATAAATCTTTAAAAAAAATAATTAATGCCTTCCTTGTGAGAGGCCATGCATGCTGTGGCATCTTGGCAGCCTGGAGTCTGGAATAACTCCTTGGCCCCTCTGTTTCACGCTTCAGGATGAGTCTGGGATTTGGCGGGGGTGGGAAAGGGTTTGATTAGAGTTTGTATTGTGTGATTTTTTTTTTTTTTTTTTGTTTTGTTTTTGGAATTTTTTTCTCATGATTTAATTTATTTGTATATTTTTGGAAGAGAGTGAATGTACTCTTTCCAAATCATATAGGAAGGGTCATTATCGACTGAGCCCGTTATTGTGTGCTGACCACAATCTCTTAAGGTGTTCAGCCAGGCTTCCACAATGTAAAGTGTGGAGAATATAAACCCTGAGTTTGCATGTCAGCTTTTCTGGAAAGTTCTAGCATTTGTTCTTGCCTGACTCAGTTATCAGTAGGCTTGTTCCTACATAGTGGCCATCATATCACAAGAAGTGTTGTACATACCCCACTTAGGCCATATAAAGCGTGTGTGTAAGTGAAATTATCAAAATGATTAAGCTTAGGATATTTGCCAAATATGGTAATGTATAACTGAGCCCATAGTGAATATATATAACCTCTAAGCATATTCGGAACAGTTAGAATCTCATAAAAATACATTTGTAAGTGGGACATATTATTAATATGTTGGGATTAGAGTACAACAATGCAGCTAGGCGGTGGTAGCTCATGCCTTTAATCCCAGCACTCCGGAGGCAGAGGCAGGCGGGTCTCTTGAGTTCGAGGCCAGCCTAGAAACAGAGTGAGTTCCAGGACAGGTTCCAAAGCCCAGAGAAATGCTGTCTTGGAAAAAGAAATGCTGTAAGTTCAGGGAGAGGAAATATTTAACCCCTGGGAAGGAAATGGGGAGCTGCCAGGGGTCAGGGCATCCATGATCAGATGACACAGTCAGCAACGCTGTGCTAGGGGATGAGCCATAGCGAGAAGGAAGGGGACCGTAAACTTACAGGGAATTGATCTTAAGTAAGGTGTGGTAGGACAAATCTGTAATCCAGAGGCAGGAAGCTTGAAAACATGAAATCAGCTTGAGACCTGGTTTCAAAAGATAATGTTGCAACTGGGTTCCTAAGTGTAGGGGAATTTACCAGAGAATTGGAACTAATGTTTGCTCCTCCATTTGCCAGGTTGGGTATCGACAGCCTCTAGTTGCCATACAGGTCATCTTTGTTTCTAGTGCTACCAAGAAAGAAGTAACAGTTGAGTGCAAAATTGAAGGATCACAGAACCTAAAAAACGAGGATGACCGCGACAAGTTTTTGGGACGAGTTGTGTTCAAAGTCACAGTGAGCACCTAGGAGTAGGGTGTCTCCACAGAATAAATGTTGTGCTGTCTCCATTTTGTATCAGCTGGACCTGCCATTCTAGAATTATGAAGCCACCTTGGAGGAGGTGGTGTGGTACACACACTGGGATGACATCATAACGTGCTTCCAGATCATAGTGTTCAGTGTCGTCTGAAGTAACTGCCTGCTGCCTCTGCTGCCCTCTGAACCAGTGTACGGTCGCCAGATAGGGACCAGAGAGCTCCCAGTTCCAAACCCGCAGAGTGGGAGTCTCGCCTTCTGTGTAATTGCCAAACGTCTAAAGCTTAATGTGCTGTGCTGTGTAAATATTTTATGGATTTAACACTGGTAACTGTCATATTTTGATGCCAACAAAGTTTTAGGGATAAAATGGTACCTTGCCAACATCAAGTGACTTTAGCTGCAAGAAATGTGTGAGAAGTTCTGTATGTGAGGAGGAAAAAGAAAATAAAAGTTGATCTGAAAGTATTAGCTTCGATTCTGTGTATGTGAATGTGTGTGTGTCTGTACGCTTTAAATTATTTTTTACATGCTGAATGAGACTGGATCTTTTTATTGTGAGGACAAGCCTTCTGTTGTAAAAGCATTTTAAAATACTAAGGGGGGAATTTTGAGTGATGAAAATCAAGTTTTCCACACTCATCCTAGACCATGGACGAAATAACATTTTTAAGTTAGGTGAATGTACACCAGACTTTTTTGTTTTGTTTTGTTTTTTAATGAAATTAAATTCCCAAGACATAAATTGTATATAGGTTTTTAAAATATGTCTTGTTACTGCTTTTATTTAGCAGAATATGGACCCTAATAAAAATATAAATTGTGGAATACAAAACTTCAAACTGGTTCAAAGCTCAGAGCACATGATGGAGTCTTCTTTCAGATCTTGACTGGTACCCTGGACTGTCTGTGCGCTCAGGGGACTTTTCTAGGACTGTACTAACTGGAGCTCTCTTCTCTGTCCCGAGAAACCCGAGGAAAGGCTCTCTCATTAGACCTGTGGGTTTCTGTCTATTTTTAAAAGGTTTGTTATTTTTTGTGTTTGTTACCATGCATTTATGCACAGCGCCTGAGTGACTGGAGAATGGAGCCCAGAAGAGGGCCTCAGGTCCCTGGACCTGGAGTTACTGATGGTTGTGAGTAGCCATATGGGTGCTTGGAATTAACCCTAGGCCTTCTGGAAAATCAGCTGGTGCTCTTAACTGCTGAGGCATCTCTCCAGCCCCTCATTCTATTTTATTTTTTTAGGTTGATTTTTATTTTATGTGCATTGGTGTTTTGCCATGAGAGTTAGATCCCTTGGAATTGGAGCTGTCATGTGGGTGCTGGGATTGAACCAGGATCCTCTGGAGAACAGCCAGTGAGTGATCTTAGCCACTGAGCCTTCTCTCCAGCAACCCCCATCCCATTTATTTATTTCAAGAGCAGGGCCACTTTTGGAGGTGGTCTGTGGTCTGCAAGCCAGGCCTGGTAGGACAAAACCCAGCTGACTGAGGTTGGCTGTTTGGAAAAGCTGAAGGGATCCGGTGATTTTGCAAGCTAGAATGGGAGCTTCTGTGCTTTGGAAGTGGCCATGCTACCCTGGGAAGGGGAGCTTTGCTCATTGTTACACTGCTCGCTTTTACATTGGTTTATCGATACAGGGTTTCTCTGTGGCTTTTGGATCTGTAGAACAGGCTGGTCTCGAATACACAGAAATCTGCCTGCTGCTCCTGAGTGCTGGGGTTAAGGGTGTGCGCCACCGACACCCAGCTGCACTGTCCACTTTTCATTGCACCAGTACTCAGTGATTCTTCCCAAATTGAACCTCTTCTGGATTTAGGTTTTTTCCTTCGTGCTTTTTATGACTTTCAGTCTTGCTGTGTGGTCTCCAATGGCCTTGTTAGTCACTGATTTATTTATTGCCGAGAAGGGACAGCATGACCTAGGCAAGCATTGAACTGGGGGCCTGCTTACAAAGGTTTAGTCCATTTGCAGGCAGCCACTGAAGCTATAGCTGAGAGCCACACCCGATTGCAGGCAGAAGAGACTGGGCCTGGCGTGGGCTTTTCAAACTTTAAATCCCACGCCTAGTGACATTTCCTCTAGCGAGGCCACACCTCCTAATCTTCAAACAGCATCATTCCCTGGTGAGAAAGCATTCATATACACTCAAACCACAGTCATCCTGCCTCAACTTCCCAACTCATATTATGAATGAATGTAAAGTATAAGGCCTTTGGTGGTGACGCCTTTAGTCCCAGCACTCAGAAAGCAGAGGCAGGTGGATCTCGGTGAGTTCTGGCCAGCCTGGTCTACAGAATGAATTCCAGGACACCTAGGGCTGTTATAGAGAAACCCTGCCTCATAAACAAAATTTAAAGCATAATAGATTTGTAACCCATAGCAAGAATGCTGTCATCTGAAGTGAGGTGGATTTTGAAGAAATGGGACATAAGATGTTAAGTCCCTAAATCTTACTGGGTCCTTTCCTGCTTCTCTTCTCCATGACTTCAGCTGACCTCAACTCTTCAGTTTGTTTCTCTTCAATTTGAAGCATGCTGGCTGGAAGGACACAGGCTTCGGGAGTCCTTAAACTAGAAGGACAAGACAGAGCCCAGGCGTTAGCGTGGTTCTACTGACAGCAGTGCTGTGCCAGGGGTGGGCATAAAGGCGGCCCTTGGGATGGAATAGGTCACTCCCAATGTCCCCCGGGGTCTCTGTGGAAATGGTGTGTTATTGAGAGGCTCTGTCCTCTGGGTAGTGAGATGGATTTAGGAATGGACGACAGGTGTGGACCGGTGTTCGGTGGATAATAAGTTGGACTAGGAATGGAGGGAGCCACGAATCAATTGCCATCTGCTCTAGGTTTTCCTCAGAAGTGAGGATGCGTACATAGTTGTCTTCATTTCACTACCTTGCGTGCTGTGATCCTGTAAATTCCATCAGCTTCCTCTGCACTCTGTTCACTCAGAGCAGTCTGAGTAACGATCAGAGGGGTGAAGCAGTCAGCTTCATGTATTAAAAAAGAGTTCCAAACTTTCCATTTGGGACTGGGAGTTGATGATTTGTTATAAATTAATGTTTTGCCCCTTTGAAAACATGGGCTTTCAGGCTTGTCCTGTGTCTTAGAGCAGTTTTCTGCAAAGTGGCACGTGTGTGCTCCATCCTATCCAAAGTTTGTGGTAGTTTCCTTGGGGTTTGGAGATTAGATGAGATGGATGGTTTGCCTCTTACAAGATCCAACTGTAGCAGGACTGCCTAGCACTAACCGTGACACCTTGGCAGGCTCAGATTGGGATGTGAATTCAAACAACATTCGTCATTTTCCCTTTTGAGCCAGAACAAGGGGATTGGCTTTGAATTCTATTTACATTTGGTTGCTTTGAAATCCTGGGTAAATTTAGCTTAATGGAGCTATACTTATGTGTAAAATGAATGTAGGCCCACCCTTGAGAGTGTTCAGAGCACACTGTGAGGACATACTTAACAAATGTGTTCATGAATGTCATGCCTGCTTCTGAGGCTGTAGGTTTGTCCAGAGCATCCTTGCAAACTGAAGACTACCTAGTGGTTTTTGTACCCAGTTGGAGCATTTATTTGTGGCCCAACAAGAGGAGTGGGGGCAGAGGCTCCCCCTAGAAGCACACAGAAATGGTTTGATGCCAGGGGGAGCCATGCATAGTGTCTGGAACAACAATTCATGTATGGTCTAGATTTTGGCTGTTAGAAGTGACAGGATGGAGTTGCATTTTAGAAACAATCAAACAATCAAAATCTGCCCTCCGATTGTGTGTGTCATTGGATTGACTAAAGGAAGCATCATAAAAACAAATTGCATTTGACTGTTTTACTAGCCAGTTCTAGATTTGTTCGGAGATGTAATTCTCTGTCTATCCCTAATAGGAGTGTGCATCCTGCTACCTGGCCACCAGTCTGGATCACATTGCCCTCAGAGTCTTGGGAGGTAGATGGCCCTTAGGCAAAGGGTATGATGGAGTCTGGACTCTGGCCACCAACTGCTGGATGGAGGACAGCCTTTGACTTGGGTTAGCCGTGTAAAACTTAAAACCATACTCTCAAGCCGAGGGCTCTCAGAGGAGCCTGGAGCTGCTCTAATTTTTATCACACCTGCAACTGTGGACCCAGGTTTTATAGCCTTTGCCCCTTAACAGAGCTATTTGGTGCTGGGTGGTAACTTTCTGTTTCTCAAGAAGATTGCCTAGGAAATCAGGTTCTGTGCTTAGAACAGTGTCCAAGGATTGCTATTTTACATGCCTTGGCTGTCTACTTTGGTTTAAACAGTTATTCAGGAACAAAACTCAAACCAGCAGCTGAAAAAGTTTCATCCCAAGAGGCATTGCCTTTTCTTGCTGTTTCAGTTACTTAGATTATGTGGCCCATGTGCAAACCTGGTCAGAAGAGGGTGTTGGATCTGGAACTGGAGTTAGCAATGTTTGTGAGCCACCCTGTGTGCTGGGAACTGAACCTGGGTCCTCTGGAAGAGCAACAAGCCGCCCTTAACTGAGTCATAGCTCCAACCCCATGTACTAGTTTCTTCCTGTTGCTGTGACAAAATGCCATGCCAAGGCAATTTACAAAAGGAAGGGTTTGTCTAGGCTTATGGTTCCACAGGGTGAGGATCCCAGCACAGCAGGGAAGCGGCATGAAGGACAGAGGATGGAATGGCTCTCAAAGCCTGCCTGCAGTGACTCCTTCCAACAAGGATACATCCCCAAACAGCACCACCAACTGGGGACCAAGTTCTAATATTCAAGAGTATTGGGGACATCTCTTCCAAACCCCACACTTGCCCCTTGTGGCTTTTACAGTAGGAACAAGCTGCCCCAATGAGGGTAACAGGAGAGGAGGAGCAGAAAGGCATCATCAGTAGCCTAGGGACAGCTACAGTGTCCTTGAGTGGCTGGGGCAGAGGCAGGGCAGACCCAAGGTAGCAGTGACGATGGGAAAACTAGAGGGGCTATGGCCACACCTGTCAAGGGAAGAGCAAGAGACACAGGCCCAGAGTCTCCTGGGAGCTTCTTCACCTTGAAGGTGGAGAGCGGACCCTGAGACTTAGAGCTGGAATGCTCAGTGCTGGTGCTATTCCCAGCGGCTGCTTGGAACCAAGGAGTTCCTGAGCTGCAAAGGGCCAGGCTACCAGTGTGAGCACACAGCTGTAAGTCTTGGACTTGGGCACTTGGAGCCATAAATCTGTGGTCTAAGACCAGAACTTGAAGTCTTTAGTTCTCAAGCCTTGGAGGTAGAGTTCTGAGATGTTGGCACTGAACCCAAGAACTGCTCACTTACATTTGCTACCCAGCTAGAGAGAAGGCCCGGCCAGCTCGGCACATCTGGAACCCGAGTAAAGTCCCCCCCCCCCCCCCCGCAGGAGACTTGGACCTCTGGGGGACCTTGGCAGTCTCTGTCTCTCTGTCTGTCCCTCTCCTGTCAAGCGGCCTGGGAAGGTTCTGGAGAAAGAGCAA